ATTCCTCTGCTGCTAATGACCTTGACCTTCCTATTGCTCACAGGAAAGGTGTTAGATTGTGCACCACTAAACATCCCATTTCCAACTTTGTTTCCTATGAGAACATTTCACCCTCATTTCGTGCTTTCCTTACCTCTATTGACAGTGTCCYTWTCCCCAAGAATGTGGCAGAAGCTCTTTCAGTTCCTGAATGGACAAATGCCATGAAGGAAGAAATTAATGCCCTACATAAAAATGGCACATGGGAACTTGTTGATCTTCCTAAGGGAAAGGTTCCAGTTGGATGTAAATGAGTATTCACTGTCAAGCATAGGGCTGATGGAACGGTGGAGAGGTATAAAGCTCACTTAGTGGCAAAGGGGTTTAGTCAAGTGTACAGAGTTGATTATGCAGAAACTTTTGCCCATGTTGCCAAGATGAACTCCATTAGAGTTCTTTTCTCTCTTGCTGCTAATATGGATTGGGATCTACATCAGCTTGACATCAAGAATGCATTCTTGAATGGTGACCTTGAAGAGGAAGTTTACATGATTCAACCCCCTGGTTTTCTGGCTCAAGGAAATGAATAAGAAAGTGTGCAAGTTGAAGAAGTCTTTATACGAGCTGAAACAATCACCAAGAGCTTGGTTCAACAGATTCCATGTTTCGGTTCAGCAGAAAGGATACAAGCAATGTCAATCAGATCACACACTATTTGTGAAAAGAGGAGAAGGTAAAATTGTTGCCTTAATTGTATATGTGGATGACATAATTGTTATTGGTGACTGGAATGATGAAATTCAGAGGTTGAAGTTTTTTCTTGCCACTCAGTTTGAAGTGAAGGATCTAGGACCTGCCAGATACTTCCTTGGAATTGAAGTTGCCCAATCAAAGAGGGGTATCTTCATTTCTCAAAGGAAATATGTCATAGATTTACTTCAGAACACTGGAAAGATGGGGGTGAAGCCAGTTGACTCTCCCATTGACCCCAACCATAAATTAGGTGACAGCCAAGGTGAACTTCTCAAGGATGTGAAACAGTTTTAAAGGCTTGTAGGGAGATTGTTATACCTTTCTATGACTCGTCCAGACATTGCATATGCTGTTGGTGTCCTCAGTCAGTTCATGCATGCACCTAGGTCCTCTCATCTTGAAGCAGCAGAGAGAATCCTTCGATATTTAAAGAAGTTTCCAGGCGCYRRCTTGTTATTTCAAAAGCACGGGCATTTGAAAGTTGAAGTTTATACAGATGCAGATTGGGCTGGATCTCAAAGTGACAGAAAGTCTACTAGTGGCTACTGCACCTTTA